TACATATTGCTATATATTACCTACCTCTAGTTCATAGCATAATAACATATAAATTGAATTCAATAATAATCGAGATAAAAATTCCTCCTATGTCCTTCTCCATCTTATATAATACATACCAAATTTCATAGTGATTCATTAAGCCGTTAAAGCACTAAGAGGCAATAAACTCACCTTAACAAAGGTACAGATGATAATATAATGCCCGAAACAGAAATATTTTAATTCTGGGTCACGATTTTAATTCTTAATGGAATTCTTAGCTTAACATACGAGTATAGACTATTTAATTTTTTTTTTCTAATTTCTGAAAGAAATACAATAGATAAAAAAAAACTTGTAAATCATAATCATTAAAATCTATCTTTTGCCCACAGCTGAACATATATCTCGATCTCTGTACGCATGCACAACGGGGATTTAACGAACTTACTGTGTTTGTCGTGTCCAACAATTGTTTCTTCTTCATCCAAAAGTCTTGTTATTTTTTTTTTATACGACTTAGAATGGCAAACAAGCTGACGACCCACCTGATAGAAAGTGGTAACCGTCGCCTATAGACAGGAGCAGTACCATGGACATAACAGAGTATACTGTTTCACCCATGATACTCCCCATGCGTTGCCATTCCTGAGGACTCAGGTGTTATTCCTCTGTACCCTGTAAATTCACTCCATATCCCACCCTTCAAACCGAAACACAGCCATGCAAACACAACTGCTTCACGGTAGAAACACGAATGGAACAGAGGTACCCAAGCAATCGACTTTTGTATAAAGTCTCTTGTTCAGGGAACATAGGGGCGCTCGGAAGAAGCACGCATCTATATACGTGTTTCTATGTCTGTATTTATTTTTTATTTTTAATACGATGTCATAGTATACATCGTTTTAAAAACAATAATAAAATTTATAAATAATCCATATTTCGCCTGAAATTACTTACATTTAATGCTCTGGAACACTTTAAAGTCGTCACTCTTCTAGATCTAACTAAAAGACTGCAAATATCGTAAAATTGAATTTAGCCTACACCAAAAATTGTATGTAAATGTTAATCCGACCAACCCGCTGGTGATGGAAAACGCCAATAACAACAACAACTAACTAACTTTCTAACAACAACCCCCCCCCCCCTTCCCCTAGAAACCATCGTGATTAATCCTCTTAGAATTCTTCATGATGAACTAAATAACTTCCTTCCACTAGAGTGTACCAATAGCGCGGGCAGGGATACCATTCCATTATCATTCATTAAAAAAGAATCTCTGACTACACCATTAAATATTATAATCGTGAGCATATATTTTTTAATTGTTTATAGTGATAATCTTTCCTTTTTTCTATATACTAGTAGGGACTATAGTCAGGAGGAAATTTATTTTATTTATATATACATACATACTTTGTTTACATTATCATTAAATTGGTTAGATGGAGATAAATTGCATATACCAAGACCAAAGGGCGTGAAGATATAAATAAACAGAGACTATTTATTAACTTTATATCTGTTTTCTTTTATTCGACAACAACTTGTTTCGTAAATATTCTATATTGTGGATATTGCTTCTTTATAATATAGACTTTGTGTCGAAACATGCAATTTTATTTTTTACTTCGCAACGACTCAATCGTCACATCGATTAAAATAAGTCTCACACAGAAGTGTACCCTATCGTTTACAAAGAATCATGAAAATCGGTTCAGAATTGGCGAAGTAATTGTGTAACATAATATTAAATAGTCGCAAAAAAGTCAGTCGAATTGTAAACCTTCTTCTTCTTGAGTTACTTAAAAAACACAGACAAATTGCAAATAATCGTCTATTGTAAAATACAACTAAAGATATTACGGGATAGAAAGGGGTGGTCCATTCTTTGCCGGGACCACATGATGTTCTTATATTACTTAGTACTCTTATTCATTCTATGATATTACGTGACACGTGGCGTGAATTTACTGGGTACAGAGGAATAACACCTGACTCCTAAGGAATGGCAACGCATGGGGGGTACCATGGGCGAAACAGTGTACTCTGTTATGTCCATGGTACTGCTCTTGTCTATAGGCGACGGTTACCACATTCCATCACGTAGACCGTCAGCTTATTTGCCATTCTAAGTTGTATAAAAAAAAAACACTTTCCCCAATACTGTGATTTTCAACCGACTTCAAAAAGAAAAAGTTTCTTAATTAGATTATATTTTGTTATGTCCATTTCCTTGTAATAGACATTTCGGGATTCAAACCCACTGTTTATTATTCGCTAAAACATCGATAGATAGTACCAATATTAGGCGTAATGATATTTTAAAAAATGATTGATAAATTTACAAACTGAAAACAAGCTCGAGAGAAATCTAGGTTCAAATCCCACTGGAACGAGCTGCCAGGAGGTAAATTTTTCAATCTTGAATTTATTTAAAAAAAATTTCAAATAAAATTATTTGACTTTGAATAAAATTATGTTGTTACGGAGAGATTTTTTTTTCTTGTTAATTTACATCCCTTGCAACAGGATGTTTGATGTTCCGGATGAAGGAAATATATTCTGTTTGTGAATAACAACACCGCAGAAATATTGTTTTTGGTAATAAACATATGGTGTATAGATACGTAACATATATCTCATGTTGAGAGTAGCGATAGTTGGCGTAAACTCTTAATGACGTTTTTTATTCCCTAGTTATATATATATATATATATATATATATATATATATATATATATATATATATATATATATATATATGATGGTACAGATGGAAATATTGTTATGGTATGTAGACGTAAGGGGAGACTGTACAAAAGTATTATTATATATATATATATATATATATATATATATATATATATATATATATATATATATATATATATATATATATATATATATATATATATATATATATATATATATATATATATATATATATATATATATATATATATATATATATATATATATAAATTCATTATATATATATCCCACCCTTCAAATCGAAACAGCCATACAAACACAACTGCTTCACGGTAGAAACACGAATGGGACAGAGGTTCCCAAACAAACAAACGACTTTTGTACAAAGTCTCCCTCTACGTCTACATACCATAACAATATTTCCATCTGATTTTGAGAATATTTTCTCAATGCATACATAAAGTGACTTTTATATTCACAAGGGCACACGACTAACTCTTTCTTGGGAAAACAAAATGTGAATAGTTAATACGTCGATTCTATAAAGGCACCCACTTTGATTCCGAATCAGGATTTTTTATAATACAAACACGAACAAATGGGATGCCGAGTCTATATATTTCAAAACAGATATGCGATCGATAGTTACTGAATTTGTATATTATAAAAAAAAAGCAGCGACTTAAATAGAACAGCTAAAAATAACATTTTAAATAAAACAATAATTTTAATGTTCATATTTTAAAACTAATAAAATGCATGTTTTGTTAATAGATTTAATATATTTTAATTAAGAATGCAGATTTGTGTCTCAGAATATAAGTAGATTTTGCTGTAAAACAAACAGCTTTTAGCTTTTTAAAGGAAACATAATCTTATATATTTTTTTATCTCACGAATTTAAATTTGTATAAAGCCTAAGTAAACGGTCACTATAATCTATAATAAAATAATGTGATAAAAATATTGAAAGTTATATTATCTGTGACTGAAACAAACACTACTATATTTTCAAAAGAATTTAAAAAACGAATTACTATTAACGATATAATTATATAACGTTATCGGAAAACAATCTACAATACCAAGTATCAATCTACTAAAACAGGCGCTATTTCCCTTTTATCTTTAAAAGTAAAATGTTAATTTTATATCAGAGCAAAACCTTTATTATAAGAACCAATAATATGAATTACACTTAAAATTATTATAAATTTATTTTTAATAGTCCAATAAACAATCATTTTGCAAAATTATCTAATTAAAATATTAGATTAACGGATATTTGTATAATATTACGTGTAAAGAGGAAAATTTTGATTATTTGTTTACAACAGATAAACTCAAAAAGTACTCAACTGATTTTAAAAATTCTTTCATCAATACAAAGCTACATACATTATCAGCAAGTGACATGAGACATATACTTTTATTAAAAAAAAAAAAAAGATTCCTAAAAAAATTACAATAACGTAATCCAAAGTAACAAAAATTTGCCTATTAAAGCTGATATAAAATGCTAGTTTATCTTTCTATCTATCCGTGCAAAGCTGGAGTGGATCACTAGTTTAGCAATAAAAGTGTGAAAACTTTGTGGCAAAGCTTATGAAACCATCGTTTTGGGGCTCTTTAGGAACTATTACCAAGTTACATGTGGGGTAAGACTCAAGGGTAACTGTAGTTTGAAACTTCAAGCTTTAGAATCTCATAGGACGAAATGTTTGTTTTAGGTGCACTTCATTTGAAAATAATATGTTTTATTTATAAACCAAACAAAAGGATTGTGAGAATAATGTGTACCAAAATATACTTTTATTAATAGCTGTACTGTGATTATTCTAAAAACACTGCACTGCAACTAGAGAAACAAAAGATTTTTGAATGTTCGTTACTCAATTAAACATAGACAACTAAATAAATTTGAATTTGGTAAATATATATTTCCATCAGGTGGACCGTCAGCTTGTTTGCCAGTCTAATTTGTTTAAATATATAAATGAATTGACGCCGAAAAGGAAAACATAACTTCTTATTTCATTTTATTTTTATATATTTTTATATCTTATAGTTATAAATAGGACGTTTTACTTTACTGAAAAAGATAACGCGTGGATAAAAATACTCATTTGTTGTTAATAGATATAAGTAGCATTATTATCGTCTTAATTAGCCTTTGACATTACATTCTATACCAAAAACAATACAGTAATAAAAATAAAATTAATAAGATAAACATTTGTCACTGGTTATTGAAAGTTAAAATTAAAAGTTATTTAAAGAATACGCATAGTACTTACCCAAAACCGTAATAGAACTCGACACAAACATGCTGAGTAACCAGACGAGAGCTATCTTGATAAGTACCACCCTCTTGGTAGAATGATGCCTGCTCTTCAACGGATTTCGTATTCCTAAGTACCTGAAAAAAATATGTTATATGAACACGAGCATATATATTATATTATATGAAGACAAAAAAATTAAACTTAATATGAGAGAAAAGGGATTATTAGTAAGGGGGTATAATAGTCCCCTTGCTAGCAGCATATTTTATAAGGTCGACCTCCACGCGGTTTCCTCTAGAAACCATCAAAGTTAATTAATTGTAGTGGAATTCGTCACGATGAACTAACTGTGACCTACTTACTACATACTTTCGTCCATCTATCACCTTTCAATAGTGCCTCGCCGGCGTATATTAATGGTGCAGGCCGAGTTACCATTTTATCCTTACCCATTAAAAAAATCTCCAAAAATTCTACCAATCAAGCTAACACACAAATAAACCTTAGTATAAAACAAATAATTCCAAATTACCTCGGTTACATATAGAAACCAGTACGCTCAGACTTGCATTGGGTTTTGTACACAAACAAACAACAAGGTTTACACACAAATTTAATTAGTTGCCGCCACTCTAATTTGCATGACCATTTTTTGTCTTAAGTCATCTAAATGCACGTACTTTTAATTCAGCTTAATTTCGACCTGGTCTTCCTACGCAATTATGTGTTTATATCTAAACAAAAAGTAAAGTAACTGATAAAAATAATATTGTCAAGCCTCGAACAGTTTAGTTTATACAACGACGAATAATAGTCATCTAAAAATCGAATAAAACTAAACATATGAAGAAAAATAAAACTTTAAACCTAGTATATAAAGTACTTGCGTTTACTGGAAATGATATCACAAAATCGTGACCTGAAAATACTTAAACTGGTGTACGTATGACGTAAATGTTCACATGTGACAGTTTCGAATTTATATGGAACTGAAGTTGCAAAAATTTCAAAAATTCACGTACTCATTTTCGTATTTCAAATTCAATTCATAGACGTTCAGAACTATATTTGGATGAAATAAAATATTTTTGCTACTAAATCTTGTATAAAGTATTTTTGATTGCTCTATAATACTGTTTTAAAGACATTGTAAGGAGTCAGTGGATGTAGGTGGCTCAGGACCAGCCATTTCTTCATTTCCTATGACAGTCTATGGAGGATGTTTATATTCAGCAATGGATAGATAATGGCTTAGATGATGATGATGATGATTATATTTAAAGAAACAAATGTTTAAAACGAAATTACTTGACAAATATGCAACTCTGTGGTATTTTCCAATTTAAGTTATATCCAGGAAAATCACACTTAATTCCAACCAAATATATTAACTTAAAATGAAATCCAAATAAAAATAATCATCACTTATTTTTATCCCTCTTCCGCCAAATCTACTTCGAGCTTATATTGTATAGGTGAATGATCTACCTTCTATATGCTCTGACTTGTATTAAGTTTTTTCTCTTTTACAATGCCAATTTATGATTTTTTTTAATCTAAGAATAAAACAGGCATACAATGCAGAAGTAGGAAAATCCAAATATCAGGGGAAACTTAATATATATCCGATACAGACTGATAGAAAATCCCAGAGTCCACAGAGTACATACATAAACGGCAAACTATGCTCACAGATGATATAATAGGTCTCCAGTGTGTAAGCGTGAGATGAATTATGAAAGTGGACCGTCTATGGGTATAATAAAGATAGAAGACTTTTGGAATTCATTTTTTCTCAATATTTTTACACTAGATTCCACATTTTCGTTGTATCTGTTGTCGGTTCGCATAACAAAGCATAATGACCCATTCACACAGTACATTCGTTAATGACGATTAATTATTTAAAACATTCATTCTTCGCTTCATTATTCGCTTTTTTTATTTTACGCGTACAAAATAAATAGTACCTACTAGTGCTTAGCATATCTATAGTAATTGGCTTAAACAAATGTTAATTTTGATTACGATTAATTAAGCCTTTAAGGCGTCAAAACGAATAAGTATTCGGTACCCTTTGATAAACAAAATCACTTTCACAATTATAATAATATTAATTAGTATTTCAATAATTTTGAATGCTTACTAAAACTAAATCATGAATCGTTAAACATTGTAACATATTGTTATGGGATTTTTATTTTTACTTTCGTAATTTTTCATGATTAACAAGAGTACCAGAGGGAGACTTTGTATAAAAGTCGATTGCTTGGGTTCCTCTGTCCCATTCGTGTTTCAACCGTGAAATAGTTCGTGTTTGCATGGCTGTGTTTCGGTTTGAAGGGCGGGATATGGCGTGAATTTACTGGGTACAGAGGAATAACACCTGAGTCCTCAGGACTGGCAACGCATGGGGGGTATCATGGGCGAAACAGTATACTCTGTTATGTCCATGGTACTGCTCATGTCTATAGGCGACGATTACCGCTGTCCATCAAGTGGGCCGTCAGCTTGCCATTCTAAGTTGTATATAAAAAAAAAGTATATCATATAAAATCGTAAATGTTTATCAACCGTGCTGATAAATTAAACGTATCTTTACGTATTCTTAAATTAAACAAAAATTTTAATAATTCCGTTATAAATCACGATTCGTATTTAACAAATCATCGATGTGTGAATAAAGCCTAATGTAGTTGGATAGAAACAGTCAACCTGACCTTTAGCATTTTGTATGGTAGTTGCGCTTTTTTGCGTTTTCTATAATCACAAGCAAGTAGTGCTGATGTAACAATTTGAAGCAACCAGAAAAAAAGCTACTAAATATGTAAATAAGACAACTATGTAGTTACTTCTTGAACCAGAAAGTTCCTTCCCTTCATTCGTGTACGGAATAAAGTATGCACGAATTTTCTTCAATACCCAATACTGAATGACTAATAAAAATAAACAAAAGTTCCTTGTTTTCTTAATGTTCACAACAAAAGGGAGCTAAGTAAATATTTAAATTGTGTGTTATTAATGAACAAGTCTGACATTTTGTGGTAACTTTACAATAAGAGTATTTATTGAGGTCGCTTGTAAAATATCATACTCTGAATCTAACATCACATTTATTTAATTCTATCATTAGAATTGACTATATAAAAAAGTTAATTATACTTCAGCGATGACCCACTGACAAAAAAATCGCTTTTGTTGACTCCTTAATTAATTATGAATTAATATTTGTTTTGTTATTAAATGTTAATTTATAATCATACATTTATATTTATTTTATTTGTTTATTTTAGAAACATTTACAGATATCAAAACTAATAATATTAATTGTAGTGATTACAATGCATGCTTTGTTTGCCCATTAACCATCATTACGAACTTTCGTATTCACAAGTTAAAAAAATGCAGTCAAGCAGATATCTTGCAACTTATGCTTCGAATACAAAACTGAATATTCTGACTGCGGGGACCAGCACATTCAACGCCATAAATTCACTGGAAGCATACCTCACTTCCGTCCAGCCAAGATATACTATAGCACCTATAGAATTGCATTATCTGTGATATTACGAGTCCACTACTAAACTTGATGACGTTAGATATTGAAATATCTCACGGAAACTCTGCAGAATATTCTCAAAATGCTACTCTCGTCTCCCCGTTGAAATGAAATTGGCTTTAGCATATAAGCGGCTTCTAAAGATACGGCTCACAATTTATTATTATTCATATGTATATTTGTAGCTATATTATACAAATAAGTTTATAATATTAAACCTATTTTTAAAACTAATATACGAAATTAAACATATATACATAGGTATTTATTTTATTTGCATCACTTACGGCACACAAATATAAATTTTGTATGTATTATATATATACACTTTTGTATATATACATATACAAAAGTGTGCCACAGCAATCCAAAAATGTCACAATTTAATTTATTTCTTTGCCCTCAAAAGAGCAAGGCACTGATATTCTGTTGTGGCCAAAAACCGACCGAAGAAGGAGGAGAGGAGGGGACTATTTTATATAACACAAACATATATATGTATTAGGGGGAAAGGGATTGTTAGTAATGGGGTCTAATTAACTCAATGCTAGCAATACACCCTGGTCGACCTCCACGCGGTTCCCCCTGGAAACTGTCGTGGTTAATTCTAGGTGAAATTCGTCACGATGAGCTAACTGACCTGCTTTTTCATTCTCAACTGTCATTCTCAACCTTACTGGTGCCCCGCCAGTATATACCATTAGCGCGGGCGGGGTTACTATTTCATTATCACCCATTAAAAAGACATGTATATGTAACATATTTATATATAACATATTAATCCAAAGAAATTCAGGCAGGCCAGACATAAAACTATAAGCCAAATCTTTTTGTAATATGGACAAAAAAACATATTACGCCGACCCCAAATAATAGGGGGGAAAGTGATTGTTAGTAATAGAGACTGAAAATCCCATTGCTAGCAATACGAGTATAACCAACCAGGTCGATCTCCTCGCGGTTCCCCCTAGAAACTATCATAGTTAATTCCTGATGAATTTATCATGATGGGCTAACTGGCCTGTTTTCATTCTCATCTATCACCCTTCACTGGTGCTCCGCCAGCGTATCCCGTTAGCGCAGGTGGAGTTATCGTTACCATACCATTTTCACCCATAAAAAAAGACCTCAAATCATAATTGGTAATAAGGGTAGGAAGCTGATGATGATTAATCTAAAGAAACACAATGTATTTAAATTCTTACAAAATTAATAGCGGGCTAACACCAAACTAAACCCTATCGATTGAAAAAATACGTATAACGAAATGAAAAAATATGAAAATGTAATTGACTAAATCATATGTATGTGTCACTATATCACAAAAAGTCACTTAAAAACTATAAGTCCCATTTATTTTATATATTATACTAGCTGTATTCCGCGGCTCCGTCCGCGTAAATCAGTATAAGACTTACCCGTGTACCAAATTGCATTCAAATTCATTCAGTAGTTTTTAACGTAATAAAGTAATAAACATCCATATACATACTTAGAATCCTTCGCATTTATAAATAATAATTTATTAATAGGATAAAATAATTATTGTTTACTAGCTCTTACCTACGACTTTGT